TGTGAGCGGTGGTCAGAGTGGCAGTGTGCTGGGGGAGGAGAGAAGTCCCTTTGGGTGAGACCTGGCTCTGAGATCTGGCACTACCTCGGTCAGCATGCGCGCGTCTGCCTCCCATCTCATTCTGCGTGTGCAGTTCCAGCCGGAGAGGAGGAGACAGGGCGGGCAGGGACCGCATTAAGTGGATTTTCCTCCTAATCCCTCAGTTCCTCCACTACAGTCTTATCTATATTCTCATCCTGCAGAGCCATCACTTGTCTGTGAGGGGAAAGGCAGGGAAGGAGGCGGAAAGGGAATGAGATGTGAATTTCGCATTCACCAGCACTCCAATGAAATCGGTCCCAAGGGAGGGTGAACACGTCTCCACTGGACTAGCAGGTCTGGAAGGACGGTCAGGTGTCGGAGGCAAGAGTCGGAAAGGCGGGACTTGCGCTTACCTGACTGCTAACGGACTCTTTCTTGGCCGTGCTCTGAGCCAGAGGGGGACCCTGGGCAGGGGACAGCCTTGATGGACTCTTCTTACTCTGAGGCAGCAGTGAGGACAGGAAGCCCACACGAGGTGACTGGGAGAGGGAAGTGCTCCTCTGGCTGCACACCATGACTCTGAACAAGCAGACACAACACAAGGTCACGGGCCGGGGGCGGGGTCTGGGAGAAGCGGGAGCACAGACCTGCTGGGCTGCGGACAGCGCCGGTGACCAGGGTCTCAGCCAGGCGGCATTATCCCCAGTTCCATCCGTGTACCAAGGGGGGCCAGCCCTGCCTGGCACGACGGCGAGGTCTGCGGCTCCCCTGTGAGGGCCCCGCTAAAGCTCAGAGCGGGGCTGTCCAACAGCCATGGTGGCTGAGCCCCCGAAATGGGTTGGTCCAAATCACAGCGTGCAGGAATACACCCTGGGATTCAGGAGTCAGCTTTTTTTTTCAGGTGTTAAATATCTCAAAATACTCTTTTACATCCATCGCACGTTTGAAATGAAAATCTGGATATGTCGGGCTAAATAAAATATACCATTAAAATCGACTTTGCTTCTTTCTTTTTACTCAACGTTGGCTACTAAAATTTTTTAATGACATTTTGGCTTGCGTTTTATTTCCACTGGACGGCTCCAGCTCAGACACTTGAACAGTTTCACCCGGTACAGTATTTGGCCGTGCGTGGGTTTGGAATCTGACTGTCCGCATTTGCATCCTTACTCACCGCCCACTCATTCACGGGAACCTCTCTGTGCCTCCCTTTCCGCCACTGCTATTGCTGTTATTTTTATCAACTGGGACTTCTGTCTAGCTGGCTATTTTTTTAAGGTCGCTCATACCTCTCTCTCAACCTGCCTACCTCTCCAGCCCTCGCACGGAAGCATGCTTCTGCTGTGAAACCCGTCCCACCTATGGATGTCAATGTTGTCAACTGTCAGGTGCTGCTTTCGATGCACAAAAACTTCCTGAGGCTTTGGGACAGCAGCTGTGTTTATTTATCCAGGCTGTGCGCATCGCATCGGCCTGGCAGAGCTATGCAACTGCCCCTCCCTCTGGGCAGGCTCAGAGGCTGGGAGGTGGGGAACAACTGCCCAAGGACCTCAAAGGCCAGGGGACCTTACTCAGAAAGTTAGGAAGCAAGAACAGGGAGTGCCAGGAGGCTCTCTGGCAATTCCGCAGCTCCAGGAGCAGGGGCGCCATGGCGAGGTGCTCCGAGGTGAGAGCACAGGGGACAGAGGGGAGCGAGGTGCACTCACAGTTCTGAGTCCCCCAGGCGGTCCATGTTGGAGACATAAGGAGGCAACTTGTGTTGGACCAAGGCCTCTTCCTCCTCTGGCTGCTGCTCCTCTTTCTTTAGTCGGTGGATTTCGGCTTGCAATGCAAAAAGCTACGTAGAGAAGGGGCTGAGTTAATCAATGATCTCACCTCATCTACCCTCACTGGGGAAGATCAGACACATCGCACCCAACACCCGACCTCACTGGCTCAAAAAGCCACTGGCCCTCAACGCAGAGTGTCTCTCACTCTGCTCAGTGCAGACTAGAAAAATGGGCAAGTGGAAGTTGTGACTGGACTACAATGAGGTGAGAAACTAAAACCACTAGATGTACAAAAACCAGGTTTTTTTTCTTTTTATCATTTGACTTGCTTCCCTTTTATCATCTGACTTGCTTCCTCTTGAATTCACTGAGAAATACAGCTCCACCCAATCCTGCTCTGCTCTTGGGAATCTACAAAATCAGACTTTGGAACTCTCATGGAAATACGCACCCAAAATCCAAGAATCTTAAACCCTCAAACCTAAACAGTTTATAATCTTCCCTTTTCTGAAACTTTTCCTTTTTCTGAAGCTATCTTAATTTCAAGGACAGATAAATGCTCCACAGGCAAAATGTACAGGCACATGTGAGTCCCCAGGCTCTGTCATTTTGCCACACTAGATGACACAGAGCTGAGTAGAACAATTAAATTATATCAGGGTTGTAAACAATATAGATGTGGATATATGTGGACAATAACTAGAGGCACAAAACAGACGGAGGAAAACAGGTTGGCCGTCAGGTAGCATGGATGCACACAGTCTTTTTTCCCTCTGAAAAGTTCATTACTTTTGAACTTCATTTCTAGCTTTCAGAGACCGGTACAACCCCCAAGTCCCCAACACTGACTTTCTGGTGACTCACCTTCATCTGAGATCAGTGCTTTCCTACATTTAATCAGCCCTGCAGTGCCACTACCTATTTTCACGCACGAAAAGCAGAAGTACTTCCCCAGGAGCAAGCGAGTTCAGAACCAACCTTCTGGCGCAGAACTTCATTTTCTTCTTGAACCTGGTTAGTCCTCTGGCATTCCGCATCAAAGTTCAGGATCACGGGGACTGGTGCACAAAGTTAAAGAATAAGCCTGCGAAACGAGTCCTTCCCAAGCTCCTGACACAGTAGCATCACCCTTGAACGTGAGACGTGGGGAACGGAGTACAGATTCGGGGCTGTGAGCTCTTCACAGCTTCATGAAAGTCTCTCGTTTGAGGCCAAGCCTGGCCTGACTTTGTTCAGACTCACAGACACTTTGTTCAGACTCATAGACACATGACAATCTGCCTGGCTAGCTCGCGGAGAGGTCATAAATCCAAACCTGAGTGTTTTCTCCCAATACCAGCAGTAAAGAGCTGTATCCGGTGGGATACACAGCCAGTCTAAGCTTTAGTGACATTCGGCTAAGAGCGAGCCCAGTGGCCAGCTGCTCTACCAGCTGGGCAGAAGCATCGGTCACTCAGCTTTCCCTTCCCCAGACTGAACCTCCCTCTGGCAAAGGTTTAGACTGAGAAAGCTTTCTGCAGACTGCACGGCCACACGTCACCCCATGCACATCCACGTTGTGGGTCAGGGTGTCAGTCTTTCTCAACCACTTCAAACAGCTTCAGTTGGGAGGAGCACAAAGCAGGCAGGGCTTCGGCAGTGGGAAAGTGAACTGCGGCTCAAATGTGCGTGACCCAGTTTGCAGGACACTGTCTTGCACTGAAGAGACCAGGAGTGACATTTTCAATGTCCCTAGAGGGCCCGTGTGGTCGTATCATGCCCTCCTCTGCTCTGAGCCCCCTGCTGGATCCGTCTGAAAGCCCTCAAGATGAAGGGCGGCAGCCCCACAAGATAAAAGGCAAAGCTGGCAAGAGTGGAATTCACACCCAGCCACTACACAAAGGAAAGGGCACCCTTCCTCCCTCCAACAGATGTGACAGATGTTCCTCCCAGAGGCCAAAATGGCCGCCTGGCCTGTGGGTGAGCCTCCACAGTGCCCCATTTATCAGTGACTCACCAGGCAGCCCCATTCAAACCAGACTCCCTGCACCTCCCCTAGAATTCCAGCCTAGAGAGCACGAACAACGGATGATGTCTCCGGCCTTGGGATCTCAGGCTTTCCGTGACAAAATGGTCAGTGTGGTAGGCTGTAAATTTTTTTTCTTTCTCTTTTAAATAACCACACATACATTCTTACAGCTGCTGTTTTCTGGCAAGCTGAGGAACACTGAGGTCACTGCTAGAGAGAGCGACCCAAATACTAACACAGGGAGGAAGTTCCTGCCCAAGAAGCGTTCTCACCTGCTACAAAATCCCAGCAAAGGCAAGTGATATCCTGGGGGACACAGAGGAAGTGCTTTCAAAGATGGCTGCTTTCACTAAGAAGCAACTGCCTACCAAGCCCTGTTATCTACTGAGAGGACCTCAGCCCTATCTGAGGGCTCCTCTCAGAGCCTAGCACCAGCACCCCACTGCTACTACGATCCCCACACCCATGCATGTCAGCTATTACTTCAGCAACAGAGCATCAGAACTACGATTTATGGTTCCCTGGCCTGCTGACAAAAATCACCACAATCTGTCCAGCCCCCTTCACATGATACATGACAATGAGCTTTGGGCATTTTGTAGAGAAAATGATTGCATCAAGAGCAGTGGCCACTGATCACGCTGTCTGGATGCCTCGGACTGGGCCCACAGCCCCAGGCAGCGGAAAGGATATGCATGCACTGAAAGAGGACACTCAGGAAGTTGTGCAGGGACACAATGAAGGTGTCGGCCCACTGTCGAGAAAAGTAGGTAGCAAAGGTGGGGTTGGTGTCTGGGGATGGCAGGAAGGGCAGGATAAACCAATCCTTCCACTCGGCCTGGTTCTGGAGCTCCGTGGCTTGCTTTGCAAAGAACTCCTGAGCCTTGTCATTTCTGTTTGTCTGCCAAGACACAGAGGAGGTAGCAAGGACGGGGGAGACACAGAAGTCCAGAGGTAAGATTCTTCATCACTGCACAACAGAGAGAGCCTTTGGATATCAATCAGCCTGAGAGGTAAGTGGCCAAACATGATCTACAAACTCCATAAAATAAAGGAAATCATCAGTCTTTTCTCAAGTTCCTTGTGATTTTCAAGAAGCTGGATTAAACTGAAGTCCTGGTGAAAAATGCAATTCTAAAAATTAATTTCTAGTTGATTGTCAAATAATCTAAGTGACTTATTTCCCCAGGTCAACTATAATATTTATTATTCAAACTTTAATCCAGCTACTTATGTTCTTTAAAACACCACTCAGGTTTGTGTGCTTAAAGCAAGAGGGGAAACAGGAATGAGGAAGAAAAGTCAGATGACCTGCAGATGAGAAAGGGAAAAAAAAAGTAGGAAAACAGTAAAAAATAATTTGCACTGTTGACTGTTCCACCCTTTCCAAGAGTAACATAGAAAGAAAAGAAAATCTATTTCTGAATCAAAGAACTCTCTCCATCAAGGAAACCCTGAACGAACAAGCACCTGGATTGTGTAGACGAGATAAAAGCGGAACAGGCTGGTTTTCAGCTTGTTGATGGTGGGTCTATACATATCCTCCAAGCGGCTGAAGAGCCGGCGCTCCAGGTAGTTCCAGTAATCCCGCAGGGCAGCCAAGTCATATACCTGCATTAACTGCTGCAGCTGGTCCACAATCTTGTCCACCTGGTGAGGGGAAGAAGCGATGGAAGAGGTGGTGAAGGACAGAAGGGAATTCTCCGTTCACGCCACGGTTAATGCAGCTTTTTCCTCTTACTGGGGCTTCTGGGTGTTAAAATTTTTTTTTGTCAGTTAGCAATCTATAAGACTTTCAAAATATATTAATGTAATAGCTTTTAAGTTATTTTCTCATGTTAGATATGCTGATCCTCTAGCAAGCGTGGAACTTTCAGGTGTAAAAATGCTGACTCAGGAAGCAGGAGATCTGGATCCAGTCTTGGATCTGCCTCTGACTTCCTCAACCAACTTGGCAATGGGAGACCAGACTTCAACTGTCTGGTCTCAGTTGCCTAAGAGTTCAAAAAATAAAAAAAAAAAAAAGAGAAAGCAAGGACAATCTCCTCTCAGCCCCACCATCCCAGGATTTCAAGGCTCATGGTGAGGTGCACTGACTCCTTCGAGTCACTCAAGCACCACCAAAGCCCTTAAAGCTGCTCAGAGTGTCAGCCAAAGAAGTCACCTCCTCGTGAGGAGCAATCACACCAGACTACACAATTTTCAAAACGTTTGGGATACCGATACCAATCCTACACTCCCATTTTACAGATCAGGACACTGAGGTCTAGAGGGCTGAAACGCTGTGCTTTTGCAACTAAGTAGTTACTAACTTCGGTAAGACAGGAACCTGAGTCTCCTAGCTCCCCTCCAGCACTCTTGCTGCTAGCTCACTGCTTCTCTCAAGTCACCTGCCGGCCCCAAGTGAAGTCAGCAAACATACCCACAAATCGCACCTGTAGAAATTCCAGCAACTTCTCAACGAAAAATCATGTCTTAGCAGGGAAAGTAAAATGTATTAAAATATGCAATGAGGTCTTCCTCGACTGCCGAACCAACTTGTCAACGAATCACTGATAAGGCCATTTTAAATAAACACTGCAGATACTTGAACCCAGCTAACATTTTGGGCTGCGGACCCCTTTGCTCTCAAATGCCACAGAAAGCTAACTACTGAATATTTCTATTGCCAAAACTCAACCATCTACCCTGCCTTAGCTCCTAAAACCTCACTGCCATCCTGGCCAACGACTGGCCAGCACCTGCTGGAAGGCTGGGATGGAGGACGGAGCCCTGGACCAGGAGTTAGGACACCTGGGCTCCAGCCTCTGGGATGCTTCTGAAGCGCTGGGCAACTTCAGGCAAAGCATGTCCCCTCTCAGGGCCTCGGTTCCTCATCTGTCAAGAGAGGGCCGGACGCGCTGAAGTAGAATGCCCCCCCCCACCCCCCCCCAAGCTCAGTGACAGCGCCGCTCCCGCCCTGGAGGGCAGTGCCGGGGAAGAGCCCGCTTCGGGCTCCCTTGGGGCCGCCTCTGCCCGCGCCGCGCCCGCTAGCCTCTCACCCGGAACCCTTTCTCCTTATCCGCCTTGATCTCGGCGTCCAGCTGCCGCAGAGTATACGTGAAGCCGCGGAAGAGCAGGTACTCGCGGACCAGCTCGTCAGTGCGCTCCACCGCCTCCGCCATCGCTGCGCCAGCGCCGTGAGGGTCCGCGGCGGGCGAGGGACGGAGGGGCGGGGCCTGGCCGTAGGGGGCGGGGCCGGGCGCGGGCCTACCAGCCCGCACGCACCGCGC